CTACTGCAAAGCCGCTCATCAGCAAGTCCCGCTGATTCTACCTAAGAAACTCTTCCCTGATCGTTCTACTTGTTTCTGTCTCGGCTGCTACCATTTTGGTCCAAGGCGCCACTCTCTTTCACTATACTAGCGCCGCAGCCTCCGAACTGGCCTCCTGGCTTCCTCTCTTGCCTCTTGCTGACCATTCATTCTCCTCCCAGCCACCAAAATGATCTTTTAAAAATGGAAATCAGCCCGGCCGTGGCTCAGCAGTTGAGCGTCGACCTGGAATCCAGGCGATCGGGGTTCGATTCCCGGTCAGGGCACATGCCCCGGTTGCGGGCTCGATCCCCAGTTGGGGGCCTGCAGGAGGCAGCCGATCAATGACTCTCTCATCATTGATGTTTCTATCTCTCTCCCTCTCCTTTCCTCTCTCTGAAAATCAATGAAGATATATTTTTTTAAAAAAAAGGAAATCACAGCATATCATTCTCCTAAAACCTTCCAATGGTTCTGCATTGCACTTAGGATACAGCCCCACTCCTCACCCAGGCCCACGAAGCCTTCCTTGTTTTGCCCTCCCACCTCCCCANNTCCCAGGTCCAGCCCCTACCCTCACCCCCCTTGCTTGCCACTAGCCACATGGTGGTCTTCCTGTTCCTCCAACCCTAACTTTGTTCCACCTGAAAGCCTTTGCAGCAGCTATTTTCTCTTCTTGCAATGCCTACTCCTTCTCACCCTATTTTATTAATCATAGTACTAATCACAACTTAACATTTCTTTTTTTTTTTCAGGGGGGATAGATATTTTTTAATCTGTATCTCTTACCTAGAATAAAAGCTTCCTAAAAGTATGGATCACACTGTCTTGTTCTCTCCTGGAATCCGAGCATCTAGAACAGTTGTAGGCACATAGTAGGTGTACAGAAACGCTTGTTGAAGGGGTAAGCCCCGGCATTCCTTGCAACTGGCATAGTTCCTGATGCACAGTAAGCTCTTCTGTATTTGCTGAATTCATGGATAAGTCACTCCAACTACACTGTGAGCTTCTTGAGAGCAGAGCCCTGTTCCAGGCTCCTTTGTTTCCTCCACAGCACCTAACATGATGATCGGGGTTTGCAGGTGCTGAGCAAATATGCTTGCCTGGTTTGTTCCTTTTCCCACAGGGAAACCCAACTCACTAAGCTGTCTTCCTAACGAGCTTCATTTCTCTGAATGTAAACATGAGGCACAAGAGGAATGTCGTGGGGACCAAGATGGCCTGGGTAGGAAGNAACTCACTAAGCTGTCTTCCTAACGAGCTTCATTTCTCTGAGCGTAAATATGAGGCACAAGAGGAATGTCGTGGGGACCAAGATGGCCTGGGTAGGAAGTTACAGGGGCAGGTCAGCCAGTCTAGGTGAGAGTAGAGGTAAAGGAGGGTCTGCACCTGGTAGTTTTCCTCTCACGATTCTAGCCATAACGTTACATTTCTTTTTGGTGAATGTGTTACAGAATTCAACCTACCTGCTGGTGATGGTGGATCCAGACGCCCCTAGCAGGGTTAATCCCCTCGCTCGGTACTGGAGACATTGGCTGGTGGCAGATATCCAAGTAAGTTAGCCAGGAGGCACTTTCTGATTCATTGGGGGTTATAGCTGGAAGATTATTATCATTCTCCACTGTTCTCAGCTCTCATTCATGAGGGCTGAGGACTCTGATGAGCAAGGACTTCTGTATCAGGTCACCCCCAGCACCCAGCTATTACAGCCCCTCCCAAGTTTTCTAACAATTTCAAAAAATGCCCCAGGATCCATGGTGCACAGACAAATAAGCTGTCAGAATAACGGGGGGGAGGAAGCCCCAATTTGTAGTATTTGCTGATTTCTGTAATGCAAATACTCCCACCATGGCCAATTTCAAGCTATTGATGATTTATTGACTGACTCACAATTTCTGAAAATTTAGCAATTGTCTCTGGCACACCACTGCCAGGGGCCTGAATTCGGGGGGAGCATAGGGTGATTTTGTGCAGTCCAAGGGGTGTGGGGGGAGTTACCCTGGCAACCAACCCNATTGTCTCTGGCACACCACTGCCAGGGGCCTGAATTCGAGGGGGGGCATAGGGTGATTTTGTGCAGTCCAAGGGGTGTGGGGGGAGTTACCCTGGCAACCAACCCTGCCCAGTGACCACAGGTCCTTCACAGGATGCTCAGGTGGACAGCTATCCTGAGGCAGCCCTGGCTACAGCCTTGGGCAGAGCCTGAGTGGGCCCCTGAGGAAAAACAGCGACACTGCTCCACACGCTGCCCAGCCAAGCATCCCTCGGTTTGGTGAGGAGCCTTGGAAACACCATAAGCATTTGAAGGTGCAGAGCTGGGAGAGGTCCATGCCATCAGGGGAGGGAAGAGAGCTGAGGACACAAAAGGAAGACACTGGATCCTGCCCCAATCTAGAGCATTGCCATTTTCTGTGCTTGGGACTCCCTGGGGGTCATAAGGGGCTGAAACTCTCAAAAAAGCTGTTACACTTTCAGTTTACCATCCACACAAGGCAGTCTCTAAGAGGGTTCTACTGGGCAATTCTGAGGCCAGAAATCAGAAGCTGTTGGGGGTGAAATAATTTCAGCATTGAGGCTGCCTCTCTTCCAAGCCTGCAGTTCTCCTGCCCATTCCCCTCACTCAAGACAGTTCTCTCACACAAGCCTTGTGGTGTAGGCATAGGTTCTGCCTCAACAGCCCAGCTCAGAAGCAGAGCAGGTGGCAGGTGGCAGGTGGCAGCTGTCAGGCAAGACTGCTAAATCACCGAACTTACCATGGTCACCTGCCCGGGTACAGCCCTCGGCCTTCCCGCTCAGGCCGGAGGAGGCTTGGGTTTCGGTTGCATTTTCACCCACTTTCACTGATCCAAGAGGCCAGCAGGAAGCAGCAGCTCTCAGCTATATCCACTTGACCTGCCCACCAGCCCCCAAAGCCCACATAAACCAGGTCTAATTTTGGTCTCAGGCCGTGGACCTTGGCCAAAGGAAAACAGGGCTCTAATCACACCCAGAGACACTTCCTTTGTGTTGGTGTTAGCTGCTGCTGAGTGGTCTCAAATATTAGAGCACATTCAAATCAGCTTATTAAAATGCAGATTCCAGGGCACCACTTTAATCAGAGAAGGCTCAGCATCTGCATTTAACGAGCATCCAGGAAGAGTTTAGCAGCTTGAAGAGTTCCGTGTCAGAATGCCTGGGTCATTGTTAATAGCACCCATTTGAGGAGCAGTTTTCAAGTGAAAGGCACTTTGAAACTTTCTTTTGATCCTCACAGTGACTCTGTGAACTGGGCGTCATCCCCATTTTATAGATGGGTAGAGCAAGGCCTGGAGAAATTGAATGATGCAGCGTCTCAGTCAGTGGGTTGTAGAGGCGGGTCTTCCATCCAGGACCCCAACTCCAAACCATACTCATTTCCTGCCATACCTTGTGGTCTGGGTTCACAGCACGTCTTTTCTTTCAGCTCCACTGTGGCAGGGGCATGCCACCATGCTCTCTGCAAAATGGGAAACGTGATCTCTATGCTTCCCCCACCCCCCATTCTAGGGCCCTATTTCTGGTTATTTTTTATGGGTGGATGTGTCCAGACAATCTCCCCAGGGAATGCTATCTTGGTAAATAAAGTACCCCTGACAAGGATTTTGAACCCCATAAAAGTAAACCCTACATATTATCATTACCCTCAGCAGTAAGTGGCCTCAGCAATAAGGCATGCCATAAAGTCGCTGCAGACATGGAGTGACAATGGCCCTGCGATTCACAATGGCCACAGAGGGAAACTTGGTGGAACCTTGGTTGGCCTGGATATTAGGGACCCAGGCCTAGTTGGGTGATGGACTGGGCCATGCCTGGTGGAGCCCCTTAGTAGGGACAATTTTTGGACTGTCCAGGTTGAAACAAGACAGCAGTCAGTTCTTAACAATACAGGTGGCATCTACTGCCCTGCACAGAGAGGCTGGCAGGGTCTATGACAGAGTAGTCCTTAAGTAAAACTAAAAACTAGAGAGAAGTCCATCAGTAGGGAACGCATCATATGTGGTACGCATTGCTCCTGTAATTTCACAAATATGGATTGACCATTAATTGCTGTGGCATCTTGTTTAAGAAGAGCAAGGACTGTGGAGCCAGACTGCTGTGGCTCCAATCTGAATCCACCTCTATTAACCATATGACTTCAGGGGGCAAGTTGCTCAACCTGTGTCTCAATCTGCTGACTTGTAAAGTGGAGAAACCAGTAGCCCCTACTTCACACTGTTGTTAGGAAGCTTAAACGAGTTATTTTAAGTCAAGTGCTTAGAACAGTAACCAGAACGCATAGTAAGCTCTACATACCTGTTTGCTGTGACGTCATCGTTACTGCTTGAAGTCAGGTCTGTGCCAGCACTGGGGTTACAGAGGCAAATGGAGAAGGGGATGTCTCTGTCCTGCAAGAGCTTCTGTTCTGGTGAGGCAGGGGAAGGAGGTGGCAGCATGGGGTGGGATTGTGAGGGCACCTGGGCTCACTCCGGGCAGAACTTCCTATGAGCTCAGGGACAGGGCTAGGCTTCTGTCCCCAAACCTGGCCAGCCTGGGGCAGGAGGTAACTGCTACATAAAACGTGCATCCTTCGTGCTCCCCCTTGGAAAATCTCTCCTTGAGCAAAAGAGCACTGACACACATAGTATCTTCCTCTCCCCAGTGCCACATCCTCAGCTTTTCCTTAAGATGTTTTTCAGTTCTGATTCAATCTAACTAATGATCTTCATGCTAAAGCCTAATTAAGATATCAATTAATTTGCATCATTCCTTTCAGAAGAGACACTGGTTCATCTTCTATTTGTCTCTGAATGTAGTGCTCAGAGCTTTTCATGCAGATATTTTCATTAGACTTTTTATTGTTAATGAGAATATTGAACACAGGAAGATGGTATATTAATACTTTCCACAAAGAATATCATGATTGGTGACAAAGAACCCTAAGAACAATTAAGGAGACAAGAGTACCTTTTTTCTTCCAAAAAAAGAAAATCTTCCTAGAAACCATCAGTGATTCAAAAATTTGTCCTGAATATCTTTTTTGTTTTAAAAAAAGAAAAGGAAACGGCAAGTTCGCGGTTCCCTTTCATTCGGTGCCCTCAACCTTTGGCAGCTATAAGTGCAACCAATTCTGGGTTGAATTAGAAGGACCTCTAAGGTTTCATTATTCTGTCTACAATTTTCTATAGGGTTGGATTTTTCCATAATCAGGGAAGTGTTTTTAAGGGACCTCTAAGTGTGAATGAGATAAATGGGAAACCCAATGAACAGGGCCGAGGTTGCAGCCTCCTGCTTTCCAGTTATGTTTTTGAATATCACTCCCATTCCTGAGAGATCTCAGGCAAGTTACTTGACCTCTCTGAGACTGCTTCTTGTCTGTAAAACTGACACAAATCCCTTCTCTTCAAGACTGAGACAAGGAAAAAAGGAAATTACATATGCAAAGAGGAGAAGCCTCCCTAGAGAGAGGCACTGTGGAAAGTGGCAAATGTATCCTTGTTTCTAATCAACTGAGCAGTAGATCCTATAGAAACTTAAAATATATATTTACATAATCGGGTTTTCTATATGCTCATAAGCAAGCTAATCATAATAAAAATAAGAAGACTAAACAAACTTTGTCGGGACCACATTTTCAAAAAGGTCAGGCCAAGGAAATAGAATTAATGCATTAATTTCTTTATTTAGATCTGTATTTTTAGTTTCGCTGCTGATACTTGTGCAGTTGTCTGTGCATGCTTTGCCCTGTACTGTGAGGGTAGGTTTTAAAAGTAATAAGCACCTGCAACGCATGGCTTGTGCTCCCTAAGAGCACATGGGTTTAGATCTATGGGCTTGCACGAGCATTTGGTGATGGGGACAACGCTGAGGGGCCTTGGTTGTAAAACAGACTTGTGCGTGGCTGCCAGAGGGAGGGGAAAGAGCCTGCACTTTTGGGTTATGAACCAGGGGAGGTTCCAGACTGCCACTTTCAGATGGTAATCTCTGAGACTCAGTTTCTTGCCATTGAAATGGGCATGATAATAATATCTATTTCCCGGGGCTCAATAAGATCAAGACTCCTGAACCAGAACCGAATACGAGTAGGACCTGGGTAAATGTGATTCTCTGTCCCCCAACCCCCACTTTGAAATCTGACCCCAGCAGCCACGTATGATTTAGCAATTCCCCATAGGCTACTGGACTCCTGTTTTGCCATGTAAGAATTCTAGACAACACTCAGCACACAAACCCTGGGGGCAGGGCACTTATTCTTTTGCCTGTTGAGTCTAGATGGATTCAGCCCAGCCTGCAGGACCTGACCTAACCCATACTTATTTTTTGGAGATCATAGTTGGGAGAGAGGGGGTCTGTCCCACAACTCAGCCTCTGGAAATTCCCTGTGACCCTCTGGACCAGGCCAGGGCCCCCTGGAGGCATCCCAGACCACAGCCAAGGCAAGAGGCCAGGCCCACAGTGTGCTTCTCACACCCAGGGCTGTGCTCCATCCCTAATACTTGCAGCTTTTATTGCTAACACAACCCAGCAGCCCTCGCCATCTCCTTCTCACTCACAGTCC